CCCCACCGTGATGGTTAGGAACTCACCCTCTGAAACTGTAAACAAGCCCTCAGTTAAATGCTTTCTTTTATAAGTTGCCTTGGCCCTGGTGTCTCTTCACAGCGATAGAACAGTAAATAAGGCCATCCCCATCACTGAATAAATGGGGCATGATGGCAAACACCCATAACCCCAGTACTCTAGAGGTGGGGGTGGGAGGACCAAGCAGCTCAAGGTCACTTTCCCCAGTGACACAGCAAGTTTTGAGGCCAGCCTGTGAGACCCTGTCTCAACAAAACAATAAAATAAGGCTCACTAACAGGGGCGCAGTTAGGCAAGACAGAAAGTCTCGTACTTAGCATGAATGATAGAAAGGGGAAAACACTCCAGTACAAACCCCACTTCATGCCCAAGCCATCGACCCAACCTGCCCATCTCTCCAGATGGATGTGGCTGCCACTCCCCACCCCTGCTGGGAAGAAAAACACCACTCTGGACGATTGCCACTTTCCCGGAATAGCCAGCGACAAGCAGACGCGGATGAGCCCGAAGACCTGAGTCAGATTAGTAAACGCAGCCTGGACTCAGCACCTGCAGAGAAAATGCAAGGTGTGCTCCTCCTCGCGGGCACTAGTCCGCGCCGCAGTGCTGACTCATGGCGCCCTTTGAAGTCCTTTGGCCCGGTATCAGTGAGCGCTAAGAAAAACCCTCCATGCCAATTTCCACCGTTCCCCCAGTACTTCAAAAAGATGAGACCAGGCGGGAAGCTCAAGAGAGCACGCCCACAGCCGCCCCGCCTGTAATCCAGGAAATTACAGGCACTGTCTCACCACGTAAGGCACACGGGGCAGGTGCCTCTGCAAACCCCTCCCTCTCACCACGGGGCCCTGCTGACGGTGAAGAGGAGCCACTGCCCCTGAACTTCCTAGCACTTAAGAAGAAATACAGGATTTAGCATCTGTTTGTTTCAGAAATACTTGCTAAAAACGGGTCTGCCAAAAGGCCACCTCTAAAATTAGTCATGTCTCCTGCTCCGCAAAACATAGTAAAGGGTAATTTTAGTAACGTCTCCTCTCCAGGTACCTGGTACCGTTGTGTTCCGCGCGTGATGACTTGCAGCTTACTGAGCAGGCAGTCCTTGTTTTTAGCCCCGAAATAGCTCTAATGAAATGTATAAATGAGCTTTTTTTAAAAATAAAAATCAAAGATTAGAATGAGTTTTCTGAAATAGCTCAGTGCACCCTTGGCCTCTTCCTCACAGGTGAGATGGAGGTTAGCGAAGGCGGCGACCCTTCTGTGCCCTGCTGGAGAGTTAAGTTTGCCTGCCAAGCCGGCTGGGTCCGAGGTGGTCTTGTTCTTTCCCCCTATCAAGTTTCTTTGCTTTGTTCTTCAGTATTTTTAATTTTATTACATTTACCGGCAGGAGGGAGGGGGCGTGCACCGAAGTGCACCTGTGGCAGTCGAGGGTCAGAGGGCAACTCTCAGGGCTTGTGTTCCGCCAAGGGAAGACAGAGAGGAACTGTGGGTCATCGGGCTTGCCAGCAGACTCCTTTAACCACTGAGCCATTTCAGCTATACTCTATCCATGTTTTGAAGATGAGGTAGTAACTTTGCGGGGGGAGGGCTAACACAAGCATATCTTACCTACGGAGAAGCACTGTGCAGCCTCCCCCAGGCTGTCAGAGTTGCCAGCCCCTATCCCTGCTCAGCAACTTTGTTCTCTACCTCAAAGTCACAGTGACGGTCGCTTTTCAGAACCTAATGCATGATTATCGGCCCAAACGTCACTTTTGAGAACACAGTAATTAAGAACCTCACATGATCAAGGGGATATTTATTTTTATATAGTCAGATGGACAGATCTCACAGTCTTCACCGAAAGCTAATGGAAAGCAAAATTAGGTCCCAGCCCTAAAGCGTCCTTTGTGTCCAGCAGTAAAGGGGCCATCTAGGTTCAGGTTACTCCCAACCAACTTTAAAGGCCACTGAGGTGAAAACAATGCCCTGCCTTGCCCTGCCCTGCAGGCAGCAGCAGCAATAGGAGCCTCTTGAGATAGGGCTGAGCCCAAAATGAAAGAGGGGAGAAGAGAACTTGTTTGTCACCTGGACTAAGCCAGAAACACCAGGCAAACCCTGGAGGATTTTATCCAAAGCACTTTGGAAATGTGCACCTTATCCAAAACACCCCCCCCACACCACCACCCACGCTGCTTCAAATGCCTTCAACTAACAAGAGTCTGAATTTGGCCACAAATCAACCAAAATAAAACACATGCTTTGCTAGGAGATGCTCTGAAACAGGCGGAATCTGAGGTGCTGTGCCCTCGTGTTTCCCTCCATCACCTGGTCCAGGCACCCACTTCTCAGGACGAGCTCCTTCTGAAGCCTTCCAGGCTTAGTGCTCATTGCAGTATTCATCGCTGCATTCTTTTTTTTTTTTTTTTTTTGGTTTTTCGAGATAGGGTTTTTCTGTAGCTTTGGAGCCTATCCTAGAACTAGCTCTGTAGACCAGGCTGGTCTCGAACTCACAGAGATCCGCCTACCTCTGCCTCCCGAGTGCTGGGATTAAAGGCGTGCGCCACCATCGCCCGGGCTCATCGCTGCATTCTTAAAAAGAAAACCTGTACCTACTAAAAATGGAAGGAAAAGATGAAAGGCTTCACCTAAAAGCAAATATCCCAAGAATGGGCAATGGAGGATATGCTGAAGGCAGGCTTCACACCAGCTGCTGCCCCTGGGGGAAGCCCTTGGCCTGCAGTTTAGTTTGCAAATGGCTTGAGGTTGCCTTCACTTTTCCTTTAGCTTTGCTTAATAAGGCAAAACCCAAAAGAAAAGACGGCTGGGGACTCATTAACTCACTGATATCTCTCTCTCCCTCTTCCCCTTCCCCTCGCCTTCTCATCTCTACAGTCTGCTAAAGCCCACATCTATTAGCTAAGCACAAAAGGTGTAGGGAGATGAAAAGCCATGAGTGACTCCACTGTTTCTTTAAAGTTCACAACTGAAGGAGCTAAAAACCCAGGTTCCTCCTGATGCAGCCTTGTCCCCAGAGCGGGGATTCTCCTGACTAAAGAAAAGTACAGCAGGAATGACCAAATATCCCTTCCTGGCCTCCACCTCTCCATCCAGGACCAGAGTCTCTAGTTAGACCAGGGAAATAATTTTATATCCACCGAGCATCTCCTCACTGCAAAGATGAATTGAGCCATCATAGAGACAAGAGGAAAGAGACTCTCTGCCTGGGCCCCAGTTGAGTAGAAATTCCTTGTATTCCAAGGACTCCTCGTTGGGCAAGAGGAGCACAGGAGACCAGAAGTGAAGGGGGGGGGGGGGGGTGTTGTTGGAGGACAGGGGTAGAGGGCTGAACTTGGAATACATCCCCAGGCAGTCAGCCAAGGTCAAAGGTGTTATGCCATGGGGCAAAACTACACCATTGAGGAGCTGAGGTCCAGCCCGACGTGGCAAGAACCTCTAAGGAACCAGGAGCAATAGGGCAGGAGAACGGGAGGCACTCGCCACTGTGCAACTAACATGGAGATTCCCCTTTTTAAAGAGCTGATTCACATGGCCAGGCTGAATCCTATAGGTTAGGAGTAAAAACCAACTCCTTCACCTCTCCCCACAAGAACAGGAACGTGACCTCACGTTCACAGAGTCACCTAGCAACCCACCACCTTGAGTGGACCTTGGTGCGTCAGATAGGCAGCCCACGGCACACGGAAGAGTAAATAAACTTTTGCTTCCTCCGATTAGAACGCCGAGTGCCGGGTCTGAAGAGCTAACGTGAGCTCATACTGAACTCGGGCTTTTTGCTTGGGAATTCAGGTAAGAGGTGCTTTTGAAAGTGACTCAGGCTAGCCCTGCTTACCCAGTATGAAGGGGCACCCCACTTGGGACGGCAACAGAAAAAGAGGGCAATTCTAAGGATGATGGATCCATTGCTCAGATGTAGGGGTCTCCAAGACAACAGAAACCAGAAGGGAAACAAAGTATCAAGGCAAGCGCAGCAGCTTGGGCCAGTCACCAGAGTTCTCCCGATTTAACACTGTGGTAAACTCCTAGGCTGGGCAGGGGAACCTAGAGCAGCAGACACGAGGGTTTGTCCCACAGGCTATTCGCTTCCAGGACCCTCTGAGCGCTCCTCCTCCCGCATGAACCCCCAGCCTGGGGGAAGTGTTGGAGTATGATGCCTGATTGAGGATACCAGCTTGGCAGCCAGGAGTAACTCCCTGTGTGGGGCCACCCAGCCTCTAAAGTAAGGCAGCCTCTTAGGTTTCTTCTCACAAATCTAAGTTACACCTGGCCTGGCAAGAGTTCACACCCTCTAACTTCTGATTAGGAGGAAATAGTGTCACTCCATTGGAGGAGGGCTTCCTTTCCTCTACCCTCCCCTAGAAAGATAAAAAGGTATCTCCAAATCTCTAAAGTCCCCGGGGGGGGGGGGGGGGATCTAGCTGTGCAGTTCTGCACCTGCCAAAAGCAGGTTCTTTACTGCCCACGCGGGTGGAGAGGGTAGTTTCCTGGGCCTCCGCTCTCTTCCACGTCCTCACCAGAGCCCAGGAGGGATGAAACTCTAAGCAGTCTCAGAGACTGGCTGCCCTGTTCTCCCGCCTCACATTCCAGAAGCAAGGCTGACACCCCCTGCTCCCCACCCCCACCCCAAACACACACCGGTCTAGACCTAGTTCTATCGTCCCTAAGGTCAGAAACAGGAGGACCCCCAACGCCAACTTTATGCTTGCGCCCCCCCCCCCCCGCCCCCTTCTCTGGCGTCCGCCAGGCGGCACCCTTCCGAAACAAAACAGAAAGGCAGTGCGGGGTAGTTTCGCGGGTACATCTATCTGTCCGGGTCCCCCACCCCACGAGTCTGTCCCCTGCCCCAATCACCCATCAGTGAATGCCTGGTGGCCCACTCCAAGAGCCTGAGAGTGCGTCTAGCTCTACAGGGTTGGAAAGTCAGGCAGAGTGCTCGCGGGACAGTGCTCCAGGTCCTCCCGCCAGGCCCGCGCGCCCGGGCTCACCTTCTCTCCGGTCAGCACGTGCAGCCCCTCGCGCACCTTGGCGAAGGAGCCCTCGCCCAGCTTCCTGCTGCCGATCAGGTAGTTGCCCACGCGCTTGTGGTGCTGGAAGTCCCGGAGCCGCTCGCGGGACACGCCGCTCACCCAGGCGGGCAGGAAACTTCCCTCGCAGGCCGCCGCCGGCCTGGCTGCGTCCTCCGAGCCCCCGTCGCCCCCCGGCGCTGCCGGCTCGCCCAGGAGCCCGTCCCCAGCCGCTGCCGGCATCGCGCCCGCTCGGCTCCCGTGCTCGCAGCCGCTCCTCCTCCGGCTCCCCGGACTGCCCCGGCTCCTCCTGCCGCCGCCCTGGGCCCGGCCCCGCCCGGCCCGGGTCTTCGCGCTCACGCCCCCCGCGCCTCCTTGCGAGCGCGGCGCGCAGACAATAGCTGGCGACGGGGCGACCGGGGACCCGCCCCCGAGAAGTTCGTCCTCGGAGGATCGGTCGCCTAGATCGCGTCCGCCGTCCCGTCGGGTACCCTGCTCGGGTGCTGGGCGCAGCAGCTGCTAGTCCAAGAGGGGCGCAGTCGGGTGGCGAGGTCCCCCAAACACAGGCGCCGCCGCCCTCTAGCCCGCCGGGTCGTCAGCGGTGCACCCCGGGGCCGCTCCCGCTGGAGGAGCGCACGGCGGGTTGCAGGCGCCCTCTGGAAGGCAGCAGAAGAAAGCCTCATTCAGTTTAAATTTGCAGAAATTTAATCCGCTCGCGGGCGGCGGGGACAGACGAGAGCTCCACTCGGCAGCCTGAGCACTTTCAAATCCCTCGTAGCCCCTCCTTCCTTCCCCGCGCGCAACAGCCGAACTCGACCCTTTCTGGAGAGGGGAGGGGAAGGGAGCGGTGGAGTGGGCGGCGAAGCCACCTGAGCGCCAGACAGGGGGACCCCGCGCGGCCACGGAGACGCGCGCTCCCGGGCTGTCCAAGACCTGCCGCCTGTGGCGGCGCGGATCGGGCTGCTTCTGGGCTTGAGCTTTCTGGACCTTTCCCGGGTGAATTTCCGCACTAGCCGCACCCACCAGGTTCAGGGGAAAGACAAAAAAGGAGCTCTGGACTATAGGAGGGTTGAGTACTCAGCCCAGAACCCGGCACACAATAGGGACCCTGGATGGATGGATGGATGGATGGATGGATGGATGGATGGATGGATGGATGGACGGACGGGAACGTAGCAGGCTGTGCTCGCACGCAGACCAGATTGCTGGGTTGGTGAAGAAGCAGCCGCCACAGTTAACAGTAGTGGCGGCAGCATAGGAACCAGGGCGTTTGCTGCCTATGCTTGTACGTTTGCACCCTCTCTGCTTTCCATAGCGATGATGTAGGTGGTTGCTGGATGATCCGGACCAGAGCTTTGCAGCTCCTGGATGCTTTTGTTCTGTGGGCCCTGTGACTGTACTGATCTCACATAAACAATTACATCTGTTCCGAGACACCTACCAGATATCTCTAGAATCCTCAACATCTTCCTGAACTGAAAAGGGTGCTCAACCCTCCTACAGCCCAGAGCTCCTCTTTCTTTTTCCCCTGAACAAATCAAGGATGCAGACAGGCTTTTCCAAAATGCGACCTGTTGAGGTGGCCGTGTCTAATGCAAAGAATTTAACCTCTGATCACACATCATCTGAGCTCAAAGAGAGGATTCGGTTCTAACAAAGTTCATTTCATTGTTTATCCTGCAGTAAACAGGTATGACATCATCGATCCACATTAATACTCTGAGGTGGGGGAGGGGATACCGTTATCACCCTTCAAGGGGGGAAGTGGAGGGAGAAGTCCCTGACCCATCTGAAAAATAACCCGAAAAATGCCCGTTTTCAGGTTTCAGCGTCCGTTGTTATGAACTACGTACTGTCAGTCTCCGCCCTTGCTATGATGACCCAGTCTGGTGCTTGTCTTCTGCTGGGGTCTCCTGGCTCTGCATTTCCCACATTAAAGACAGGCTTTCCGCTGCTTTCTTGCTCTACTTAAGGGACTTCTTAATTCCTACATTTTCTGCAGGGCTCATCCAATCGCTCTCGTGTTTCTAATTCAGTAATTTAATTTTAAGGAGGCGGGAGGTGGGGAAAGAGGGGGATGCTAGGTCCAAAGTGTGGGGAGGATTAAGCCCGTGTTGGGGTGGCTCTTCCATTTGGAAAGGATTTAAAGTTTCCCAATGTTGTATAATTTAATTTTAGGAAATTAGCTCTTTGTGAAAATTTGGAGATTTGTTTGTTGCAATTCAAGGCAAATCCCAGAAAGAACTCCTCATTTGTGGAGGAGCCACTTCATAAGTGGTGGAAGTCACTGATGGTGAAATGGAGACTTTCCATCCTTTTGATGTCTTGATTATGCCCTCCCAGGGTAGAGGTCAGGAAAGGGGTGAAGAAGAGAGAAAATACAGGCCCATTAAATCTTCCTCAGGCCTGCTGCCTGGGCCTGTTCCAAGCTCACTGCTAATTCTATTGGCTGGGATGCATGCCAAAGAGAAGTTCAAATCCCACCCCTGACTGGGTTTAGTAACTGGTTCTTGAACTATAGTTCCTGCTGTCTGAAGTGGCTCTCCTGAATAAGGAATGTCTCCAGAATTCTTTTCAGAAGATAAATAAGCACACAAAATACTACATCACCGTCACACTAGGTATTCTGGAAATGTATATCTGAGGAGCCAACACACATCACTGAAGAGCCTCTCCTAAGCCCCACGTTTGTAGGGTTTCTCAGGGTATTACAGGCTAGCAGCCTTTGTTCTGGAGAGATGGCTCAGTGGCTAAGAGTCTACATTGTTCTTCCAGAGGGCCAGAGATCGGTTCCCAGCATCCACACTGATCTGCTCACAACCACCTGTAACTCCAACTCCAATGCCATCTTCTATCCTCCCAAGGCACCTGCCTTGTGTGCACATGCTCCCCACATACATGCATGCATGCATACATGCATACATACATACATGGTTTAAAACAAAGCATTTTTACAAACAAGTTATCTGTCTTCATGCAGGCTTGGCTTTCCTAACTCCACTCTTTCACTAATCCACGCTTACCTCCAAACTGCTGCTTCTGACCCATTTTCCCCCATCATAGGTGTGCCGTTAGGAGAAGCCCTTCCCAACCAATGAGCTGCTATAAGCTGTTGAACCCTCTGTTCTTCTCACTGGGTACCATTAGCTTCACATCCACCTTCTGTCTTCCAGATTGCCTATTGGATGTCCTTCTTTTTTAGAATCCGTGGACAGGGGCTGTGTTCATTTGGTTTGTATTTTGCCCTGCAGTGCCCTGCATGGTGTCTGAGCTACAAATTTGTCTAAAGAGTGTTTGCAACTGGCTGAACGATGGCTATCAGTTACCCAGTGTCCAATGACATTTTCTTGCTTGGGGACAGCAAGACCCCCCCATCTTCTCTCAGGTAAACCTTAAAAATTACTTTCTAAAGTTATTGTTCCATTGTTACCGCTGGGGAATCAGCAGATTTAATCATTTATCATTGCCAGACCCTTTCAAAAGCATCGTCATTCGCAGGGGGCCGGGGGCGCCTGGAGAAGCTGTTTCGGTTGACTTGTGCCAGCTGCTTCCTTCTTGCTCTCCCTTTTCTCCTTTTCCTCCCTCCATATGGCTGAGAGACTGTTTGTGTGCTCCCACAGTACGCCAGCTACAAGACCCAGCTGGAAGCAGTCAAAGACAATTAGAAATTATCAGGCTGGCACTGCCAGGAAGTGAGAGTTGGCCAAGGAGGGTTAGGCTGGCAGGGGTGGCATGGTAGCTGGAGAAGCAGCAGCAGAGCAAAGGCAGAGGACATGGAGAAAAGTTGCTTGGAACCCGTCCTGAAAAATCAGCGAATCGGTTCTCGGCGAGCAAAGCAGCCGGTAAATAGCAGACTCCGGATTTGAACCGTGTCCCCTGAGTTCATGGCCGCTGTGATTCCTGCCACACAGCCAGCTGTTGACTGTGCTCAGGGTAAAGGCTGAGGAATGAGGGGTTCCCCAGCCATAAAGTCTGGTGTGCAGGGGCAGCCTTGCATTAGCTGTACCCACACAACAATGGCTTCTCATGAGGGAATAGTGACTTTTCACCTCTCTGCCTCAGTTTCCTTAACATGTAAAACAGTGTTCGCTCACTCACTGTCATATTATAATTCGTCTCTTTTTCCTTGTTCTCTCATTGGTCTTAGTTACTCTTCTGTCACTGTGAAGAGACATCATGACCAAGGCAACTTATAAGGGAAAGCATTTAATTTGGGGCTTATTGTTCCTGAGGAGAACAGGGACTGTGATCATGATGGCATGCTTGCCGGCAGGCAGGCATCCCTGGTGCAATAGCTGAGAGCTTACTTGATGAGACAGCCTCAGGACACAGAAAGGCTAACTATGAAAGGCGTGGGCTTTAAAACCTCACTAGGGAAGGCATGGGCTTTAAAACCTCAAAGCCCATGTCCAGTGACACACCTCCTCCAACAAAGCCACACCTCCTAATCCCTTCCAAACAGTTCCACCAACTGCAGAACAGGCATTCAAATACATGCACCTATGGGGTCCGTTCTCATTCAGACCACCAGCACACCGAGAGAAGTCAGTTCAGACTGTCCCAAACCCTGCAGACGCCTCATTACCTCCAGGTTGGACCTCTTTCCTCACTCCAAGTCCCATGGATTGACTTCATCGCACCAGGCTGTCTGATGGGATCTCAGACTTGATCTGGCGCCGTGACCCACACCTCTCTGCTTTTCTTGCAGTCATCCTTTGCTTCCTCTCCGCCTTAACCCTGTATCTCTCACATCAGATAATCCTGGTCTCTACCTAAAATCATGACCCACTGGTGATCACCTGCCACTTCCACCCCGTCACCATAGTCCAACCACCTCCCAACTATGGTCCTTTGTTTCTACACCAAGCCAAAACTCTCTCTTACTAATCAGGGTCTAAGACACAGCTAAATGGTTCCAAGCACCAGCTGGCCTTCTAAAGAACCCAGGTTCCAGGGGCCTGGAGAGATGGCTCATTGGTTAAGAGCATCGCCTGCTCTTCCAAAGGTCCTGAGTTCAATTCCCAGCAACTACATGGTGGCTCACAACCATCTGTAATGAGGTCTGGTGCCCTCTTCTGGCCTGGAGACATACACGCAAACAGAATATTGTATACATAATAAATAAATAAATATTAAAAAAAAAGAACCCAGGTTCCAGTAACCATATGACCCTCACAATTCACAAATCCAATTTCAGGTGTATTTGATGCCCTCTGCTGGCCTCTTTCGGCACTGCATGCACGTGGTGCACACATGCAGAGAAGCAGGCACATATAAAACAAATAAAATAAATCTCTTTTATTTTTAAACGGGACTCAGATTCTACCACTTCTTTGCTCCACACACTCATGTGCCTGGCATATTGCAGATGCTCAACCTAGAACTTCATCTCGACTCTTATCGATATGGGAGAAGAAGGTGGTCTGGGCTTTGGATGGGCATGACAAGTAGGTGACAGGATGTGGAAGGTGCTACCAAGCCAAACCTCCGCAACTGCTTCCCACTAGCCACCACAGTGACATCCGGGGGGGGGGTGCATTTTCACATAAGATGACAATGGTTTTCCCTCTAGGAAAGCTGTACTTTTTACACAGTTGTGCCTGCCTCAGTCCCTGGGAGCCAAAGGATGCTCTGTTGCAGGAAGAGCAATGTATCCAGGGATCTCGGGACTCTCAGATTCCAAATCCCAGATGGAGGCATTGAGGAGGAATGGCGCTGAAATCACTCCACAGGGAAGACACCATAGCGCACAGTCCTCCTGCGGGTCAAAATGGTCACATCAACACCAGTGTCCCCCCATCACTTCACAAGGCCCTGAGATTTGCATCTCACCCTGGTACCCA